CCCCCGCCGTAGGGCCGCCCCCGCTGCAACCGGGAGGAGAAAGGAACCGGGCAGCCTTTTGCCGCGCCCCGCCGAAGGGCGCGGTAAGCTTCTCCAGAGGAAAGCCGGGCCGGGTGGCCCTAAAAACGGGCAGGGCGGGAGTCGCCAGGCCCTGCAGCCGCTTCCCGCGGGCGTTCGGGGTTCCCAGCTCCATTGGCAGCGCACGGGCTACAAATCAAAGCGGTTTATTCGGCTTCGCGGCATAAAATACAAACGTCAACAACGTCTTGAAATGCGTAATACAAGTTCCGCATGTAAAACACAGGCGCATGCAAAACCACCTCTTAAAAAAGAACACGTCGTCTACCTAAAATACAAGCACTTCAAAAGGCGGGAGTGTTTTCTGCAGGTTGCTCGTAGCGTTGCCCGCTAATTGTGCAGATTATAAAGCGCGCTCGGTGCTGGTGAAAGATGCCACCGGCACGGGAACTCCGCGCGTTCCCTGTGCGTTTCAGTGGGGGTTATTTAAGTCTCTCCGCAAAGGCAGCTGAGAGGGGTAAGACTTGGGGGGGGTCACCCACCCCCAAACTATTAATGCGGTAGCTATTGTAACGGAAAGCGTCCGATCGTGGTTGTAAATGTCCACCAAACGGCTAGTGGTGGCCACGGGTAAAATCCTTAGGTTACTCTTACTGCTAGGACCTGGATTCAGTGGAAAACATCTCCACAGTTGTTTTATAAAAAGATAAATGTGCAGAAATGAAACAATACATTACGGGCTTGAATCCGAAATCCCAGCCTCAGAAAAACAGAAGGATTTCATCAACTATTTTAACAGGATTGGGAGCCCTTCTTGGCACAGCTTACAAAGGCCATGTCAGAATCTCCCTTCTTCTCTCAGTCTTCAATTTCTTTTAAATTCAAGCATTCAGATTCAAGCATTTTTCTCTCATTGCTTTTGCATTATTATGCTAAAGAAAACTCTTAGAAAAGGATTTGACTTCAGTACTTCAAGAAAAGTAGCCATTCAGCTTTAGTGTTCAGCCCCCCTTTGCTAGGGAACCTGTTTTGTGCTGCCCAGGCATTTTCTGTTTTTAAAAAATAATAAGGGAAACTGAAGGCAGGAGGTGAAACAGTCCAAACCTGAATGACCGGAGAAAAAACAGTGGCAATCATTCTCATTTTGCTGTAGGGGACAATTAAAACTCTCTGCTTTTCCTGTAGTGATCTCTGCCTGCAGACAGAAAGAGAGGACGCTCCATCAGCCAGACGCATGTGCAATCTCAGGAAGCTGAAATCCCTGCCTTCTGCCTGGGGGCTGCTTCAAAGGCGCTGCCAGCACAACTGATCCTCAGCCGAGCTGGTTTGATAGCCTCCATCTCAGAGGAGGTGGCGGAGCACCCCGGTGCTTCCTGCCTAATGAAGCAAGCGGCGGTGGTCATCAAAAAAACTGTACTCCCATACAGATTTGGGCATGGCTCCAATTATGGCTCTTTTTACTCACAAAAGGGCCATCCCCGCTATGTGAGCGGGATGGTGAGGAGGCCCTGACCAAGCGCCTCCAAAGTCACGCAGCGCTTTGGAGACGTAGCAAAGCCCAGGCATGGACAGCTGGGCCGAGCACAAATACTGTTCAAGATTCAGCCATTTTCTTCTCGGCGCTGCAGAATAAAACACAAAATTACTCCAAATGTGATCAGACAGAAAGCAGAGCACAGCTCCTCATTTGCAGGATTTAGGATTTAGTCGGGATATGTACCAACGCAAAGGCAGGTAGCGTGGAAATTGTACCATTTGAATGGGACAGATTAAAGCATTAAATATAAGCTCTTTAGTAGTGTTACTAGCACAATCCTGCCTTATTAAAGCAAACTAAGCTTCTTAAAAGTGAAACTGCCCTTAAATGAATAATACTGTTTCAGTTCCAGTTCTGACAGAACTGGCTTTATTAATTTATTTTCCCTTTCAAGTCACTCCCGATTCTTGGGTCTCACGTAGGAACTGCCATTACATTTTGATTTATTTTGGAAGTTAAATCTTTACCGTCAAACTGCCTTATGTAAGTCTGAGACATCAGGAATATTATTCTCTCTGTATTACATTAAAAAAAAATCAACCCAAAGAAACCCAGAAAAATGCTTGCCAAATCTGACCCTGGCCCCAAAATACCCATGCTCAGAGCGAGGAGGCACCAGGTAGTGCCATCCGCCGATGCTGCTGCCCTGCCATGGGGAAGGGGACAGGTTCCCAGCCGGGAATGCTGCAGCACTGAACAATTTAAGCAGCAGGTAGGGAGGCAGAGCTGGCCCGTAAGCCCAGCCAGCTGGGCTGCAACAGAGCCTGGGCACTGGCCCGTGGCCACCTGCTCCTGGTTCTTCCAAACCGTTTTCACTTAAAAAGCAGAACAAAAAGAATACTCCCAAACTCGAAGATTCCTACTGTGAAGAAATACAGACACTAACTGGAGAGGACTGGATTGCATCATGTGAAGGTTACACTCCCACTGCCCAAAGTCATATTTGTAAGATACGATTTAAGATCTGATTTCCTCTAATACACCATCGAGCCATAATTAGGCAGGAGGTTGGAAGCTCGTCATCCAAAACTACCAGAGATATATTTGCAAAGGCACCAAAAGTTAATGGAAGTCATTTGATTTCTGCATTGACAATCTCTACTGGCTATTGCAAAGTATGAAGCTGAATGCGTTTAAGTCCAGAAAGGTAAATAGGTTCCTACCAGTTGTTAAACCACAACAGCGGTCGTGACCTAGAATAGCCTCTTGCTTTCCTAGCAAGGCTCCTTAACAAAACAGGGCAATAAAAACAGGTTTAACACTTAGATAGCAAGCACAAGACTGCTTCACGTATTTTTTCTGCTGTGAAAAACAGCCCTTGCCGAGAGGATAAGGGAGAAGATTTATCAGCCCCATCTCCAGGGTGCTGCAGCCCCTGGACTCAGCACCCACCTACTTGTACCATCTGCCTCGTGACCAAGGTTTCTGACCTACTGGCGAAGGACAAGTCCGTTTCTGTAGCAGGGCGGCAGGCATGCCTCCCCGCAGCCCTCCTCACCCACCGGGAGGATGGGACGTGCTACGGAGATCAGCCGAGTGATGCTGACATGAAATCGGAGGGAAGCGCCGGCAGGTCAGGCGCTGGCTTTGGTAGAAGGCAGCAATATGGCTTTGACGCTAGAGGGGCAAGCCCAGACACTGCTGACACACAGTCAGTCACTGCAACTTGTAACTCACTCCCACACCTTCAATTCTCCTCGCGGGGCCAGCCCTCTTCTCCTCCCCACCACAGTCTCTCCTCCGACTGCGCAGCTCTGCCAGGAGCTGGGCAGAGCCACAACAGCGGGAGAGACTCTGCAAGAGTGCAGCTCTGGACGCCGTCTCGGGCAAGCTGCCCAACGAGCCAGCTGAGCCCTATATGGCACGTTGCAGGAGCTACAGTCAGCGCAGAGGCTGATGAATTCACCCCTGGCAAGGCAAAGAGGCTTTAGCATCCCTGTTTTGGAACAGCGAAGGCTTGGGCTGGAGACATTAACAGGCTTGGCTACCGCTTGACAGAGTCCAGATCAGCCCTGGGGAGATCCTGGTCCTCACTGTTGCTTCAGACCAGGCTCGGTGTCTCCATTTCAGCTTCGCTGCCGAGCTTGGGCGCTCAAAGAGACAGATGCAAGCCCGTGAAATCCACATCCTGAGGGATTTAGCAGGGAGGAGGGTTAGTGCAGATGAAAGTAAAAAAAAAACAATGACACAAGAGCCCGGTCCTTGTTGCCCTGGCTGCTGGGCCAGCCACAGCCATGGTGGCTCATGTGTCCCGTGGCAAGAGAGGCACGAGGCTGGAGGCACCTGCCAGGGCCAGTGGCCCACCTGTTGGAGGCAGTTCATAAGAGCCCAGCCTTATCTGCAGCGAAAGAGCAAAGGCAGAAGGACTTCGGCGCAAGACCACAGACAGTAATAAATGCTGACCTGTGCAAACTTCCACACTGAGAAACAAAACCAGAAGGAAGTGGTGAAGGAGGTGGGCAATGAAGCACCTAGAGCATCCACCATGCCAGGACAGCAAGGGGCCAAGACTGTTGGGTGAGGTTTGTGGCATACGTGCCGATTTGGGCCCGCCTCCACACCTCGTATCACCAGCAGAGGAGAGTTCAAAGGCAGCTCCCCTGGTACTACACACTCTCCAGCTGTATAAAGCCTCATGGAAATGAAATGTGAGGTCTGGGGAAGACTCGGGTCCCTCCCACACACCCCGTGAAGCACACACGCACCACACACTCGGCCACCGACCAGGGCAGGGGGCAAGCAGCATCCCTCGCTTCGCTCTTCCCGCGTGGGAGACAGGCTGCCGGGCATCGGCTGGCCGGTGGCTCATGCCCCTGGTCACGGGTGTCCCCTCTTCTGCCTCTCCTGCCACTCCCGTCTCAGTGCCGCGATCTCCTGCCCATACCAGCTGTGCAGCTTGGAGAAGCAGGCTGGCTCTGG